TGATATTTAGAATTTTAATTCAAGCAATTCCTTAAGTAGTAATTGCTATTTGTATTTACATAGCTGCTTTGATCCAAGAGGCTCAAAGGACTTACTAAATTTAGCATTTTAATAAATGTTTCATTTGCACTCAGTTGATTTCTGTTTACTGACAGCAAAACTTGGAATTTTTCTAAAGGGGAGACCGTCGGTGAAGTTAAAGAACAAGACCATATCTTCACATCTGCAAGCATCCCAATCCCGAAAGTTTTGTCCTGCTATAGAGAAGGTCAAGACTCCCTGGCCCCTCCTCAATACATAAAATGGGAGCCACAGGTTTGCATGCACCTGCTTCTTCCTGTGGCTCCTGCTGGCTTCTGCCCACTGAACTCCATCCCGGCCACGCTTCTCTGAGGTATGACAACAGAGGTATGCTTATTGCATCAATGGATTTATATATAATCAGCACAATAAACATTATTAAACTGTCGGGAGAAAATCAAGGCATGAAGTGTGGTACCAGTACTGAATTCTAATGATGCCTGGGGTCCGGGACTGCACGGGGACGGGTTGTTAACAAGCCTTGATTTGAGCGTTGGCATCCGCCTCACAAATCACACGGACCGCTCCTCCCTCCCAGAACCGTGCTGAATATTGATAAATGCTCTGCCCTGCACAACAGGGAAGTGGGTTTCTATTGGCAATCTTTACCAAAGTGTGTTTTTTCCCTTCCCTACACTCAAGGGTTTACCCTGAATGATTTAATTATAATTTTCCTTGTGTAAGACAAATTAAAGAGGAGAGTAGGAGTGTCGTGCCAAGCACATTATTTATCTCCTTAACAGATTGCAGCTCACCAAACCCCAGAGCTGCTGCTGTGGCTGTGGCTGCTCACAGGAGCTGCAACATGCATGGGGCCGGAGCAGGAGGAGATGGTGGCTAAGGCCGCAGGAACCTGGGCAGGGTGTTAGCTATCCAGCTACTCTGCAACAAACACCAACTCTTCCAGCGCTACCTTCTTCTTCCAGCCTCATTTCCAGAGCGCTCTCAAATCCCTAACATTCTCAAAGCTACTAACCCAGTCTAGAGTTTGGAAGGTTAGACTCTTGGTAGGTGTGTGGGGACTCCTGTTTGCCCAGTTACTGCACTACCACATGGGGAAGAAAAGAGGTGTACAGAGACATCACAGGAGAACATGGGGAGACATGCATTTCACAAAAGCATCTGTAAAGATATCTGTAAAGCAGTGACAAGGTTGTCTTGAGGCCAGTGCCAGCCCCAGGTACAACTGAAGACGCACTTTCTGCACTGACTACTTTTTTTCCCTCCTCTCTTTTTTTATCGTTTTCTATTTAAACCTGGTATTATATATAAGATGTAAAGATTAACCATAATAAGCTAATGGCACATGACACTCTAAGTATGTACCTCTAATCCAAAGCTGGCTAACATTATCGATGTTTTCACAGTCAATTCTATACCACCAAGTAGATGAGTTACTTTTCACTGAAGGTATTCCATTTGTCATCCTAGATGTGTTCAGTTAAAATGTGCTGGTCAGGGTTGCCGGTGGGCATGAATGGTGTAATGCATGCATGAAGTCCTGGGTTTGATACCCAGTGCCAAAGATAAAATAAGATGTCCATCTAAGAACCTACCAGGTAATATAAACTGAGCAAACCAAGAGATAAGTTAATGGCATATAATTCCACCGTTGCTTCCTCCTTGCCTGTTCAATTGAACAACTCAGGCCGTTTTTATATCCAGATTCAGGCTCATAGAAATCTGAATTCTCATCCCATCCACTGTCAAATTTGGGCATGGAGAATAATGAAGATTAAACACGACATTTATTCAGACAAATAAAGACCATTAAAAAAAATCAAACAAATTTAGTCTTTTGGAATTAGACTGTCTCTTAGATCCATTTACTTTCAAATGTGCCTTAAGACCTGAAAAGGGCTATTCTTCTACTGCTCGCCTCCATTTAAGCTATCACCTGACTGCAGACATATAACCTTTTAAGATGAAACTGAGCCCAGTGCATCTAAACAAGAAGAGATTTCTGTATCCCAGGAAATCTGTGCAGGCTCCACAGTGGCTGACAAGATTACAACAAATACCTTAAGTGCATCAGTCGGCATTTTTTAGTGTATGGGCCCCTGTCTGCCTATGGATAAAGATGTGAGTCAATTGCTCCACAGTAAATGGAAGGCACCAACCTCAGGACGTCAACAGCAAGAGCAGCAAACAAGGACACTCTAGAACATTTCCTTTAGAGCAAACTAAGGATTTCTAGTTTGAAAAAATAAGTACTACAGACATTATAAGAGATTCCATAGCAAGAGCTGAGATTGGCTTCCAGACATCCATTTCTACCCCCAAGAGAAGAGGAAGCTGCCTTTCCCCTAATGGCTCCAAACTGAATCTCACTGTCTACCATTCTTCCTCTTCTTCTTCTAATTTTTTGATCAGTTGTGGGACTTGAACTCAGGCCCTGAGCACTGTCCCTGAGCTTTCTTACCCAAACCTAGCATTCTACCACTTTTAAGCCACAATGCCACTTCTGGTTTTCTGATGATTAATTAGAGATAAGAGTCTGATGAACTTTTCTGCCCAGGCTAGCTTTGAATTGTGATCCTCAGATCTCAGCCTTCTGAGGAGCTAGGATTATAGGTGTGAGCCACCAGCGCCCAGCCTTCTTCCTCTTTTTTAATATTTTTAAAATTTTTTGTGTGTGTGTGCCAGTACTGGGCTTGAACTCAGAGCCTGAGCATTGTCCCTTAATGTTTTTGTTTTGTTTTTCCACCAGCACCATTTGTGGCTATCTGCTGATTAACTGGAGATAAGAGTCTCATGCACTTTCTTTCTGGGGCTGGCTGACTTCAATCCTCCTATCCTAGCCTCCTGAGTAGCTAGGATAACAGGTGTGAGCAACTGGCACCAGCCTCACCATTCTATTCTTTAACCTCTTCTAAGCCAGTAACTTGAAAGCAACCCTTAGTTCTTAATTATCTACCACAGATATTCCTACAAACTTTAGAGCTGAGGTTCAAATGTGGGCCAAAACAAAAACATTCTTCTCATCTCTAAGCTTATGCTGAACATGAATCACAGACAGGCACAGATGTGCATAGCTCTGCATGTGTGTAGACACAATCATGTGTCACTTAACATCCTAAGAAATATATCTCAGGAAAGTATCTCAGGATATAGCCTGGGCAATGTAGCACTAGGTAACTTTGCTAGTATGTGACCATCATTGGATGTACTTCCACAAACCTACATCGTACAGCTTACCATAGCTCTAGGCGAAATGGTGTGTGTGTGTGTGTGTGTGTGTGTGTGTGTGTGTGTGAGAGAGAGAGAGAGAGAGAGAGACTTACTCACAGGGCCATGATGAGCAAACAAGCACAAGACTGAATTTAGCACAAGAGAAAAAGCTGCCATCAGGTAACATAGGATGTATGGATGAGGCTGCTGCCATCCTACCATCCTAGCACACCCAACATATTCTATACAGGTAAAAAAGGAAATCTACTCTAAAATAATGATCAAGAGCAGTGGGTACATGAACCAGTCAGTGCTGTTCACTGTCATTACCAAGTATAATACTGTGTTCATAACTGTATATGCTCAAGTTTTATATGACGAAGTCTGGGAGGAAGGCCTGGTGCTATAATGGTACAATGAACACCAGGTCGCTAGGTGATGGGAAATCTTAGACGATCACCACTGTATTGTGATTCACTGTCGACTAAAGGTTCTTTATTTGGAACTTCAGATAATATTTCTGACACGAATATATATATATATATATATATATATAAATATATATATATATATATTTATATATATATATTTATATATATATATATATAAATATATATATATATAATTAAAACAGCAGGCTTAACACTCAATATTTTGAGAAAGACATTAAATTATACTTATGATTGCTTAACTAAAATGCATAACTAAACCTTTTCTTCACTGAATCATTTTCAGTTAAAAACAACAAAAAATATAGAATTTGCTTTTTTTTTTCCTGATAGAAAATGGCATTTGGTATCACATGCTACTTTGAAGGTTTCTTCTCTTCCTACGTCTGCAAGCTCTGCATATGAAATATAGATGAAATATTTTTAAAATAGTCAACAGAAAAAAATTGTTAATTTTAGAAGCGTTATATATTCCACTTTGGATAAGCATTTCAACAGCAGTATTAATAATGTTTCTAGGTGCTAGGATATAATATGAATGAACAGCTTTATTTTCTTAGAACTCCATGCTAACATGATATATTCCGGATCTCTAAAACAACCCTAGCTTCAGCTAACATTCATTTGAATCTTGAGGCCTTTAAGAACGTATCTCCACCTCCAAACAGGAATACAGCAATATGGATGATGTTCATATATTTCAATCACAAGGAAATATGCTGTAGGTGCACGTGAATGATCACATACCACGCCCTTCCATCCCTCCATCCTCCCCCTTTCAGCTCCCACCCCCATATCTATCCTAAAAAGGCCACATGGTTTGGTGATAGACCATGAAAAAGATGGCTTCCTGCCTTCAAGAGGGACAGTGTAGACTATCAGAAGTTTATGCTTTTCCAAACCATGGTTCAAAATTGCCCGCAGCAGATATTACTCTTCCCTGAAGGTGTTTACAACCAAGGAATTCGGCTTGTATGGTGAGAGCATTTGGCAGAAAGAATCGGCCTGGAAGTCTTGAAATCCAATCCCTCCAATGAGAAATTCCAAGGCTTCTGCCTGTACTTCTACACTGAGAATACATCTGCAAAAGTGCTAATTCCATGTTGAAAAGGTGAAAATAATTAGATGCTTCACACCCAAACCCTACTGAATACATCCTTCATGTGTATATAATTATATGCACATTCAAGTCACACGAGAACTCAATTAAGGACCACGGAGATATGGCAGGGCTAGGCCACATCTGCCATGGGCCACGTGGCCCTCCCTGGGTAAAAATGGACGATGGCTCATTCCTACCTTTCCCTTTTGGGAGTGTGGACCGAGAGCTGTCCATTGGTAGAGGCATGGGGGTTCATGATTAAGGAGGTCTTGGAAGGTGCAGAGGAAGAGACGCATGTCGTGGTCAGATCCAAACTGCTGTGATTGTTGCCCGTGGTTTCTTCTGCCGAGTGAGCACTTGTCACTTCTTTCCAGAGCTGCTGCAGTTCTGTTGGAATCATGCCTGAAACAAACAAATTGGATAATTAAATCAATTAACAGCTAATTCCGTCCTCTTCAAACAGTAATTAAATCAAAGAGTCAGTAAACAAAGCCTAGTGTTAGGGGGCTTTTTGGTGTATGTAGGTTGGTTTTTCTTTTTTTTTTTTTCCCTCCCCCTTCCCCTCCCAACTGAGGCAAATACAGTAGCAATAAACCTCTCTCACAGAGCAGCCCAGCTGAAAGGCTCTCAGCCCACATGACAGACACCCAGAGAAAGGATTCAAACACTGGTATTTTGTAACAACAGTCTGCCTCCATCCATCCAAAATGTGGTTTCTCAATTTTAGGAAAAACGTAGAGACACACTACCATATTTTTAGACACCCAGAAGGGCTTGAGATAAATTTGTTCGACTATATCCTTATGACAACATGAGCTACAAAATGAATAATTTTTTGTGCTTAAGTCTTAAATGATGACAAATAGCTTTGTTATTAAATATAGTTTTTATTAATCACTTTTAGACATAAATTATGAATTCATATCGCCTTCCTGAAATGCTTCTCAACTTTTAACAGTCAAATTGATTATACTATGATTATTTCATTAACACACCTATCTTCCTCATTAATTTTGGCTTCTAGTACCACATGCTTAATTGATGGATGTGTCTACTGGAAAACTGTGTAACTTTTTTATACAAGTAACACTATTATTACTGTCATTTCTTAGATCAGAGCTAATGAACCATTACGGAATAAAATGAAAACGTAAAATAAGCTTAGAGTAATAGAGTGCTCCTGTTTTTTAAGGGGGGGGGTCACAAATGGACAGGGGTTTTAAGAAGAAAAGTGTCAACCCGTATTTTCCCCAAGAAGAGATACAATCAGGACCATTAATCTCACTGTCATAGAGTACTAAGTCTTTATCCCCACAGAATGACTGCACAGGCCGGGCTTCTACATCCAACTTCAGTGCATACCCTAGTGCATGCATGCACACAGAAGACACAGGCTCTGAAATTCACCTAACGCCACCAACCAACAGAAGCAGCTTCCTTTGAAAGAGCACCGAGAAGAAATCCTATACCCGGCACCCATCCTAAGGTGACTCCACATTAGAACTGGTGTCTCTGGATTGTAGTTCGTTGTTTCAATCAAGGGTAACACAGCTATTAGAAAAAGGGGGCCATTTTCTGGGTTATAAGGACAGCAGCTGAAACAGGCATGTTTCTTACCACACCAAAAGGTATTGAATTAAAGAAGAAGGCTGTGTGCATTATATTCATTTGAAACACATAATAAAAAAAATGCCAAGGTCTAAATTTAATTTATTTTTGCCATTTAGAATACAATGGATAGATAATCATCTCAACGTGATCAGCCAAACATCTTTACTTTGCTAAACTGTTAAAGATTTTAATTATGCTAGCATTGGAGAGCAGTGGTCTAATGAGGCGACGGACTCCAGAGAATCCCAGTGGTTAAGAACTGTGAAATGAGTCTGATAGGATTTTTTTATATTCACCGTGGATCGTTTGCATATCAAAGAGGAGTAAATTATTGCACAGTAGACCAATAACCTTCCCCGCCTTTCTGAGAGGAGCATTAACAAAAACAGTTGGTCTCTCCTAAGGGTTCTCGTCTCCAGGAAAAATGTTCCTATGCTCAAGTATTTGCAATTAATATATAGTATAAAGATGCCTCCAAATGATGCATTAAGTGGTAAAATACCCTTAACATGCATCCTCCAACAGCTAACTCAGTTTTCTTCTCCCTTCATAAAAAAAAAAAAATCAAATGCCAATTATATTTTGATGGATTTTGTCCCAAATGAGCATTTAGTTATTAGGCATATTCAATTATTACTTGTCCCCTGAAATTAAACCTCAGAGGCAGATTAAACAAAAGGAAAGGTCACCACACAATCCCATGTCCAGTTTTGCTGCATCTGGGCTATTATTTTCAATCACCTTTCCAAGTGACAGGTGGGCAGTGCTGCAGCTAGCAGGCGTACCTCTGTGCTCCACACACCGACAATTACCTGTGACTACGCCGACCCTCAGGCCACTATTGACTCAATAGAAACAACCCTGCATAGCCTTGTCTGCTGATGACAGCATCTTGATAGAAAAAGCACACAAGTCAACACCTATTTTTATTTTCTAGCACGTCAACACGTGAAAAGAACAAATCTCCAATTTTTCAACTCCAACTAATTGATTCGTGGGTCAGTTGCCCGAGAAAGAAAAAAAAATGTGGTTCTAACAAGTACGTTAACACCTTCCTTCACAGCAAAAGTAGCACTTTGAAGATGCTTCAAAAGTACACTGTTTATGTACAAATCAAGACAAACGTGTAACACAGTAGCACTTGTTACACCCAAAACATTAGCGTGACTTCTTGTCACTCCTCATTCCAACAGGATGACACACTGGTGGTGTGCTGGTACGCACACGTCTCAGCACACGACCAAGTGGTACATCTTTGTTCAACCTTCTAGTGGCAGTTGTACACAAGAATATTCTCATCAGCTTTAACAAAGAGCAGTCAAATTGCTCTCCTCCTCTCCTCGTTCATGATGGTCAGTAGTGAGCTTAGTGAACAGTACCCATCAAAGACCTCTGCTACTTGACAGCCAAGATCTAAGGGTAGAATTAAGACTAATAAAAGAGAAGCTAATTACCCATCTGAATTATCTGGATATCCAATCTCCAGAAAGCACCCATTTCTTTGCAAGGGGAAAGAGTAACAACTTAGACAAATCCATGAACAAGCACATAACCAAGCGTGCAATTTTCTTCTACTTAAAGAGTTTACATTTTTAAACCTGAAAAGGTTGACATGATAGTAACAGAATATTTCTATATAAAATTACTGGTGCTGGGGAGGACCAGAGGATGAAAATGGATATGGTAATTATGCAAAAGAGAAGAGAACCCTGTAATAATCTGAAAAACAGCAACAAAAATTATGCCTTCATTTTATTATATAAAACCTCCAGGGGCTGGGGGGAGAGTGAGGAAGGTCTTTAAACTATCCCTTTCTCTCTCTACATTTTGAGATGTCCACACAGATTTAAAGTAACTTAGTAAGGCCATAAATAGGTATGTAAAAAAATCTTGATGATTGTATTAGGAAGCCAGCATTACCAGCATTTTAAACACAAACCCCTTGTGCCTGGCTACATTTGTGTGTGTGTGTGTGTGTGTGTGTGTGTGTGTGTGTTTCAGGACAACCCGTCCTACATTTGTGTGTGTGTGTGTGTGTGTGTGTATGTTTTTCAGGACAACCCGTCCCTTTCATTATAAAAGAAAATGCAGGCGCAGGTTTAAAAAATGTATGTTGTGGGGACAGTTGACAGATTACTGTTCATGGAACTCAATTTTACAACCCCAGGTATCACTGGCTCAAAGACAAACAGAGTTGATCAACCTTTTTCTGTCCTTGTGCATCCATACCCAGGTGACCATGTTCAAGCAAGCAGAAAGTTGATTTAAACCTCATAATGACATCAGTTTTAAGCCATCATCTCTCTGATAAAAAAGAATTGTGTTGTAGTCCAACAGGACTGAATTCTCAAGCCACTTTGGCTGAGGGGGTAGGGGAGACAGAGTTAACCTCTTGATTCAGTAGTGATAGCAACTGACAATATGGTTGTTTTCTGCAAGGGGCTGGTATCAGAAATATTTACATTTATGCCATCTTAGGAACACATACAAGACCCCTTAGGAGTCTAAATATGCTTCTTCCTAATGTTGCAGTGGCTAATAGTTATAGCAGACTGCTAGGCATATCAATCAATGCCATGGCTAGTGAATTACCTACCGGTGTCTCTGATATGTTACTGCAGAGATTACACTTCATGCATCACCACATTCATTTCTTTCACATTACACATGAGCTTGTCTTGTCACTGCCCAATTGCCCTCTTTTGGACAGCTTAACTGATGTACTATAACAATGAACCCTAGTGAGAAAACTTAATAGTATAGGAGCGGTGGGAAAAGATGAGAGAGGGTGAAGCATGAGTCCAAAAGGTGGGGCAGAGCAGCCTTCCTTGTTTCCAACAATAAACCAGAGGGTGTAATTAATACGCCTTGTAACACATGCAAGCCCACAAATGTATTCTTGGCCTGTGTGGCCTTCCTCTTCCCCATGTATAGACTCAGTCTCACAGAGTTTCCATCTGATCAGCACTAGAAGAGATACTATGCACCAAGCAACTGAGACATCATGGCAGAAAGGTGGTGAAGGGTAACAGGGAAGTCAAAGGAGGGAAAAGCACTGGTCTGAACATGAGAAGCCAAAATGAAAATGAAACAGCAACAACAACCGTAGAAAGAGCAAAAGGGGAAATAGCAAGTCAGGCACAGTGGCTCCTGTCTGTAATCCCAGTTCACAAGTACCCAAGGGAGGAGGATCACTTGCGCTTAGGAGTTTAACAGCAGCCTGGGAAACATGAAGAGGCCTCCGCCTCACAAAAGAAAAAAGAAAAGATGGAAGTGGTGCTGTGGCTCACAGTGGTAGAGCACTAACCTTGGACACAAAAGCTCAGGGACGGCACCCAGGCCCTGAGAGTTCAAGCCCCATGGCCCACCCCCCCAAAAGAATAGAGCAAAACAAACAAATAAACACAAACAAAACAACCATAAGGAACAAAAGTTGGGTATGGCTTACTCAAGAGATGAGTTAAACTCAGACACACCCCACCGATCCACAGCACACCAAGTGACTAGACAAATGACCACACATTAAGCAACACAAAGAAGGTGTCACATTTTCAACGTTTTCACAGGCAAGTGAAGCTAAAACACCCAAAGTGGTAGTCACCTGTTTTTAAGGCACATGACATACAGGTTCAGATGTAATAGAGTTGAAAGAACACAGGCCTTGGTACCATCAGTCAGTCTTTGGTATCTGTGGGATGCCCTCTTGCATACCAAGATCCAAGGATCCCTAATATAAAATGACATGATATTTGCACAGAACCTACACACATCCTCCATCACCTCTGGCTTATTTATGCCACTTAATAGACCCAATAAGAACACTATGGCCATAATCATTATACTGTACTGCTGAGAGATGAATGACAAGAAAAAACTATGTGTTCAGAACAGACACAGACATCTTTTATTCTGCATTATGTTCAATCTAGGGTTGAGTAGTTGAGAACCAACTACTTGGAGGGCAAATCAGATTTTAAAACACAGGCAGGCTAGTTTCTCCTAGAAGCCTTCGCCCTCCCTTTGTCTCTCCTTCCTTTCTACTTCTCACGAATCCACTTGCTTCCACATCACACACGTGAAGTCAGAGGTGCTGAAGCCAAGAGGACACTCCACAACTCTCGTGTTTCTATGTCTTCAATGTCCAACCAACCACCCTGGCATAAGAAGTAACTAGTTTTCAAAAGGCATTCATAAAATCTAGGCTCTTCTGTCACTTTTCAAGGAATCCCACTTTCTGAAGAACTAGCAATGAATAAGTAACTAACCTGCTCAAACATCAACAAATATTTTTTAAAAAAAGAAAGCAAAAGACAGAGAAAAACATCATTTAAAAAAATAAAGAGATTGACTGCAATCATATATAGAAAACTAATCCAGAATTTATCCTTAGACACTCAGAATCAGCATTAACACAAAGCAGTAGTAAGACTGACTTAAGGAAGGTATACTACGTCAAATTTGCCTTAAAATGACTAGGAGCAGAAAATAAAGTCTTCCATGGCATCACACTGAGAGGTTCCCAGACTTCATTAGATGTCCAGGAAGGCCAAGGTAGCATTTCACAGTGTCTCCAGACCCGTGCTGATTTACAAGGGGTAACACTCCCTCCTGCGAGCCTTCAGATTCTCCCCAATCTAGTTTCTGACACTGGCAGGCTCCGTAACTTCCATTAAGAGCCCATCAGCTTTGGATTTATAATAATCTGGAAGATGCGAAGACAGCCATGTCACCCTCTCCTTTCCCACGGGGCCATCTTGCTGTCTGTGTAGTCAATGCATACCTTGAGCAAGTGGTTGGAGGGGAAGGGCAGGCTGCCCGGGCTGGATGGTTAAGAGGCCTTGGCGCTGCAAAGACAGGAGGTGCTGCTGCTGGAGCTGTTGCATCTGTAAGAGCTGCTGCTGAAAAGCCAACTGCTGGGTAGCCACCTGCTGCTGCTGTAAGAAACGGGGAAAGGAGAAAAAAGGAAACGAAACATGAGATGCCCACTTCCCAAGGAAGGTAACAGTGGAGACATGTCAAAATTCACCAGCTTCAAACACTGAGAACGTCACGAGAGATCCTGGAAGGCTCAATGTCATCTTTAAAAGGGACGGGAACACACCACATCTGAAGGGCAGTGCGCTACCTTCCTTCTGCTTGCTCCCCTAGGAAGAGGAGTCCTCCACTCACTAAGACACCTTGCCTTCTGGTGGGAACAGCCTGAGTTTGGTAGTCAAGATATGAACTTTGAGACTTTGAAATGTGTAATTATTCAACACTTGAAAGATGACTGCATCATTCCAATCTGGAGGGATTTGAACCCTGAACCTTTGAGGTGTTTAAAAGCACAAGGTGCCTCCCTCCTGGCCTGCATCGGCAGGAGCCTTTAACTACTCTGTTTATCACTTCTGACATAAATAAATGAGAAAAAATCAGACCTTTGAAGAAGAAAAACTTCATCTAATATTGTTAATTAGCCATGACAAACGATGAAATAACATTGTAAATCTTTCATAGAAACAGCCACTAGATTTTAATTACACACATTCATAATTTAGCAAACAACATCGTACTCGACTCTGAGGGCTTAATAGGAACGATACGACACTAAGCTGCAGATCCTTAACTTGGCTTTACTCTCAGAAATGCCTAGGTCTCCTTGTTGGTCCTGAGTCCCCAGTCTGCTTTGTTCTTGAAAAGAAGGGGCTTTAGGATATGATAAATATCTTTTCTTGATTGGACAATGACAGGGGGGGAAACTTTTGTTGTGTAAAACATCAATACATCATTCCTGTGTATAGTGGGCCTTGCTCCAGCCAAAAAAAAAAAATTAATGTAGATTTCCTCAGTAATTATCTGAGTGATAGAAAGATAATACAGTACACTAGTACAATAAATAGAAGGAAATTATCTAATATCCTTAATCTACTAGGAATCATACTGAGGTGGAGATCCTGGCCACATCATGGCTAACAATTAGCAAAGAAACTTAACCCTTCCCAAACTGGAATAAAAAAATTATAATTAAAAAAAAAATCCTCAAGAAAACATCAAGATCTCTTCCTAATTCTGAGTATCTTATTCACAAGGTCAGAGAGAATTTGGCAACTACAAGGACTACCCAACCCTTTAATAGTCTGCCTGTTCTAGTTAATAACTACACTTCACAAACAAGTGCATTCACTTAACCTAACACATGACCTTGATCTGATACATCTATAAAAGGGCCCGTATACCAAGACCTTCTGATGCAAAGTTCAAAGAAGAGAAGATCAGGGGCTTCCTCTCAGGCTCCATGTAGTTTATTTAACAGTTTAAAAAAGAGAAAAGAAAAGAAAAGAAAAAAAGGAAAAGAAAAGAAAAAAAAACCATCATTCTCATATTAGCAACCAATTTCAGACTTACTACCACGCCACTGAGAGAGTTAATTGAGTTTCACTCCAAAAAACAAATTCTATACTGGGAACAACAAAAATTTAAATAAATTTAAATGAAAAGCCCGTGTTTTCATTTTAAGAACAGCATGCAGAAAATGATCCAATTGTTTTCACCCCTTCCCATGTTATCACATTAATGTAAAACCCAATGATAGTTATATTCATGTCCAAGTGATTTTTTTCACTCTTTCAACAGATATTAACTTAGGACATTAAAAAAAAATGGGGGTGGGGGAGAAAGAGAAGAAACATTGATACAATAAAAGAGGGGGGATTAGATCTTGTGGAAGTAGGCTATAAGGGGGGGGAGGCCGGGGGCTGGGGAGGGCATTTCCTGTCTTACTGTAAATGAAATGTTTAAAAATTGTGTATTTATATAAAATGACTGATGCCTTTGCTGTTGTCTCTGTAGCCATCCCTAGGAAAGGCTCATGAAAGCTGTCCACGTTTGAAAAGCCAGGATATAAAAGTATACAAGGCCCATTGTCCACAGAAAGAATTTAAAAGCAACACTGGTTGCCAAACTGTGCTCTCCACCCAGTTACCAAACACAGGATACGATTCCATTTGTTTACTTCTCACAATTGAATGCATACAAAAAAGGTCTCTGAACAGTCTCTGACAGGTCAGTCGTCAGTGTTAAAATGCTAAAATACCCTGATAAACCCTGCGTTTCAGATCCCCTCCCTAGAGCCGCAGTCAAAGGTCTGTTTTCCTTTCTTTGGCTACTCCCTACTACCTAACATAAACTGTCATAACTGCCTGGACAAACGGCCCTTTTAAAACAATCAACTCAGCCCACCTCACCCACACAGGATAGCATCTTTTTTTTTTGTCTTCCCCTGCAGCTTGATTTAAAGGGAATTTTGACTCGACATTTCTACACCACTCTTGTCAGTATGAAAGAGGGGTCCCTTTAATGGCCAAGCCTGTTGTGAGTATTTTGGGTCTGACCCAATGTGGAGCCACTTTCTCGAGGAAACATCTCGAGACAACTTTGGGCCAAAAATAAATAAATAGATAAATAATTTTTTAAAAAAAATAAAAAAGTGGCAAAGGCATATTGGTTGGGTTGAGGGTCTAGCATTTTACTAAAGTAGTAACCCAGAAATAAGAAGGGCAAGATATACTTGACAATACGAAATTATGAGTCTCTAATGACCAGTGGTTCACTAAATTAATATACTTTATCCATCTGTCAACATCCAAGTGCAAACCTTGTTAAAATTGTAAATAACCACCAGGCCACATTATGAAACTGCTACCATGTGACTCTTTCTTTTCACACAAAAGGATCATCACCTGCAGGATAATTTCAGGGGACTGGACTTTCCCATCTCAGGAAAGAAAGGACGTTCTTTCTTTACAACAGTGTTGGTCATTGCCAGTCTTGCTCGTCTACTGGCATCACCAAGCCTAAAAAGTCCACAAGTGGGCCTCTCTCTGGATACACCTAAGGCCACCCATCTCCGGGTCATCTACATTTGCCTAAGAGAGAGAATAGTGCTGGACCACAGCAAGCCGACTTGTCTTGGAGATACTCAGATGTGGCTTACCCTGTCCAGGTACAGGCACAAGGTCTTCCCTTTTCACCCTCCTTCCCCAACCCCCAGCCAGAACCAGCCTATTGGTGCTTGCTTTCCTGACCAGAGCAATTTGGAAGAGTTAACTTTGTATCCCTCCTTCTGCTGAACAACTTTCTCCATCCCATTTCTTTACCGGTCCTTGGAGCTCCTCTGAACTTTCATGTTCTCCCAGAGTGCAGACATGCATTCCAAACTATGTCTAACAGACCAAATAGGAGGTTAATAAGAAGTGGCAAGAGAAAGGAAGAACACAATCCCTGGTAACTGATAAGAATGACAGTGGCAACCCTTTTTTGTTTGTCTTCAAATATAGAGTTAAAGATCTTTAAAAAACTAAATTTTGATGCCTTTGAAAAGAAAGGAGCACAAAATAACAACAGGGGGTTATTGCCTGCAAGCCACAGGGGAGAAACTCCGCGATTCTTATTCTCCCTTTTGAAGGCTGTTAGAAATCGGATTCAAAAAAGCAACAGCAGAAGGGAAAACCTCTTGAGGCTGTAACCATTTCCTGTGATCATGCATAATGTGCTCCAAAAGGGGGTTTTTACCAATTCTGTTGATCAATTGCACCTCCTTCATATCCCTTCTTTTTTCTGCTCTGTTTACATCTGATGTGTCTCAATGACAAGCACTGTCTGAGACTGTGAAACAGGCCTGTCATGTTGATTTATGGGCGCATCAAACCACAACTTGTCCAAACTGAAGCTCGCAGTTCATTAATTAGAGAGTTGTGACTTTGAAGTCAGCTTTCAGACTGTGGTTTTTAACATTTGGCTTAATTTATATGCTCTTGAATGTGGATCTCTAAGGAAAAAAACTGAAATTCCCTTCTTGTCTTTGAACTTCTTTTGACCGCACAATAATCATTTCTTTGTCCAAAGTGATGCCTGCAATCCCAGAGTCATTAACGCGCATTGAACTGCCACTGATGAGTAAGCCCTGCTGAATTAGAAAAACAGCCAGCAAAACAAAGCTGAGAACCTTCTGCACAGTGATATCTCACAATTACATGCCTTCCCTCCCTGTGCCATTTCCATTTTAATTACTGTTAGTCCTTTAGATTTACATTTTAGACACTTTTTAATCTGTTCCCTTTTTTATTATAGCAGCACCCGGTAGCGCGCCACTGTACTTAAGGTTGTGTCAGCATTTTCATTAAAACACCTCCTCCCTTTCACCCCAAAACTGCCCCTACTCTGCAGGGGTTTACAGGCAGCCTGCTAAACAGGACTCTAGGGTGAAAACTTGGCAGAGAACGGGAAATGTACCCAATTTGTGTAGAGGGAGGAGCCGGTCCAGGGAGACCGTCTGGGTCACTCCTGTGTGTAAAATTAGCGCTGTCTGAATTTATACTCATGTGAGGGACAGGGACGTGCAGAGTGAGCGGGAAGACTCCTTTCCTCCCTGCGAATGGAAGTAGTAGCCAAATGCAGAGGGCCCTGGCAGAAGCCATGAAAGGAGACCAAGCACCGTTCAAAGAATTATAAAATATGCCATCCCTAGGACAACATGTAAGCCTACTGGCCCACTCCAAAACCACATGGGGACACATTGAATTATTGGAGAACTCTATACTGGGGAGAAGCTGTGGTAATAAGGCACAGGTGTAAAACTCCCTGACGCAGTCTTACCCACAATGCACTGTACAGCAGGTGAGCTGGAAGGCCTCATATTCTGTCCAGGACTACAACTGTCTATCCTGGGTAGGGTGGTCCAAAATAATAACTTACAGACACCACAAAGCACTAAGCACACAGAAACTCATAGACCATATCGCCTTGCCCCTAAGTAATCATGCATATCCCAAGCCAGTGTCTCCCTTAACTGGAGTGTGTGCCTTTTGCAATTATTATATGCACACCTTTCTAAAGGAAGTTAAAGATGGGGATATTTGATCATGTTCTAACTTTCTTATTTCTTATTTCAGAGTTAGTCTTCTCATGGAAAAGGACATCACTACTCATCCAAACGCCCACAGCTGGCAAAAAGAAAAAAGAAAAAAAAAAAGTAGGTCCTAGAAAATCTCGTGTCACTCTTCCCAACTACAGGCTGGCCCTCAGTTCTGTTGGCCGATGTAGCCCATGTTATTCTACCCACAATCCTCCTGGTCCTCCTCTCACAGATCCGCATGCAGCCATAGGGTAAAAATATGTGGCCGCCAGCAAATGGAACCCAAGGAAATTTAAAAAAAAAAAATCTGAACACAAACAGGACAATAACTCTCGGCCTGAAAGCTGAGAAGCGATAGAGTCAGCTCCGTTGTGCAATCATTTAAAAGATGAATGACAGTTTAATAGCCATGAGATAGTCCTCTGGGATCTGTGGTTTGAAAGTAAAATATGGATCGTCGTCGGTACCTCTTTCGGCTGTTTCCCAACATGTTGTTGTTGTAAAAGTTGAAGCTGCAACTGTTCTTGTTGTTTTTTATAAAACTCTTGAAGCTGCTGCTACAAAGGAAAGAGAAAAACGGTAAGTAACGTGGGGCAGTGCCAAGCCACTGTCTCTTTCGGTGCCATATACAAACTGTGACTTGAAAAATAGCATCCTTTTATCTGTAATGGCCTGACCTTTAGTTTGATACTCAACAATAAATTCCACACACACTGACTATTCTTGGCGTTATTGTTTGAGAACTAATCTCAAGAATGAACTGATGAAAAACATACCATTTTTCTACACAAACTAATTAAAACAAGGAATGACCTTTGCTTGTACAACAAAGGCAGCATGCCCTTGTTTTGAGTGCTGAGTCTCCACCACTAGCTTTCTAGATGCGGGCGTGGGGCAGGATGGACCGGTGGTCATGTCAATGTGGGTCATTGGCAGTTTTGGGTGCTTCCTTTGCATCCTGTCCTTATCACCCCATACCAGTAACTCCTCCCCCTTAGCACTCTGCCTCATTTGTGCTGTCCAGGTGCCTGTCAAGTAAGAATGTCCGATCCCCGTGACACCACCGGGGAAGCCAGAAGTTCAATTCAACATCAGCCTCTACAGAGGGAGTTAAAAAACAAAAACGAGAAGAACAAACAGACAACTCTGGGTCTCAAAACTAACCGACTCCAAAGTGCTTCTTCATGTTAAAGGCAAAAATAAAATTGTGGAGCTTCCAAGTTGAAATGGGGACTTCAAGAGCTGTCATATTTAAAGCTGCCCCAGACGTGCTCCTTGTTTTGCTTTGATTCACATCATTTCGAAGCCGCTGGGCTTACCAAATAAAAGAGTGTAAAGCCACGTAAGCCTGAAAGATCTTTTCCCTTCCACCAAGTCCAATTACAGCCCTAATCTCAGTCCGCGGGGTATGGTGCAGGCCTGGGCTCTAGACACTGCTGGGAAGGACTTCTCTCCTTCAGGGATGCGAAGGCAGCTGATCAGGCAGGGCTGGGTTTGGGCACTGCCCCACCCAGCCTGCTCCAGGTGGTGAGGCATTGTGACTGGAGTTTGGGGCCTTGGGTTGGACTGGCACTGGAGGAAGAACAGGAGCAGGAGAACCGTTACCTGTTGGAGCATGAGGGCCTGCTGCTGTTGGAGGAGAACCTGGAGCTGCTGAGGGCTCAGCACTTGCTGCTGGAGGATTTGCTGCATTTGCTGGGGGGTGATAACTTGAGGTGTCATCATAGCCACTGACACGGGAACCTAGAAAGGTAATCAACGAAGGGTGAAAAGGAAGCCAGGTGATCCGGAGCGTAGCACACAGCTCCCAAGTTCAAGGGCAGGCAGCCATCCACTCAAAGAAATGACTAATTTCTCATGTAATCATATATAGGCATCCAAAGGGGACACAGCCACAAATCCTGTGTCATCTCCTATGGAGTTTATTCCTATTCTGAGTACAGTTACTATTCGGGGATTTTACATATTGGGCAAGTGCACTACCACTGAGTTATTAACCCCCTCCCGCCCCCCTCACTCCAGTAATTTTAATTACTCAGGAGTTAATGAAACAAATTTCATTAACTCAGGAGGCAGAGATGTGAAGATCACAGTTTGAGGCCGACTGGGCAGAAAAGTTTATGAGATTCTTATCTCCAATTCATTACCAAAAAGCTGAAATTAGAGCTGTGGCTCAAGTCAAAGAGTGCTAGCCTTGAATAAAAACCTCAGGGACAGTAGTGCCCAGGCTCTGAGTTCAAATTCTACTCTCAGGTGTGAAGCACATACACATGAAAGAAAGAGAGAGAGAGAGAGAGGGGAGGAGGGGGAGGGAGGGAAGGAAGGAGAAAAAGGGAAAAGAAAGAAAATTGCACAGAGAGGGTAGTTATAATATGCTGGCAAGGAGGGGGGGACTTTATCAACTGTACTAGGACTGCAAACAACAATCACAATTTCTCATTGGGAACAATACTTTGATCAAGATGAGCTATAGGATGTGAATCCAAACTTGAATCCTGTTTTAAAGAAGGCCAATGAGAAGAAATCACTTTGCAGTTGGAGCTTACATACCCCACTTCTCTGTGACCAATGATTTTTAAGAGCAATCCCTGAATACTCAGTCTGGCAGAGACCGGAACCTCAGATGCACCTTCCAAACTTGAACACAGACCCCTCCTATGATGCCTTTCGACCTTCCTTATTCACCTAGCATCCAGATGTCTCCATTCTTTCACACTACGTTCGATACCATTAAAAGCTGCTTTCCATGACATTTCAGTGACAAACAGCTATAGTGATGAACTTGATAGCATTTCATATTTGCAACTGTTAACACATTTCTGCACGGGCATCTTTGCAGGGAACCTGCACACAGTATCTGAAAGGATGATGTCTTGTTCAGATAAAACACTGACATTAAAATGACAGGCTGTCTTGGCCAAGGTTACACAAATTGTATTCAAGCGGATACCTAATGACAATGCTATGAATTCTGCAAGCTTTCTAGAATGTAATTTAGCTATTCAAAATAATCACTGCACTTGTGTTTAATTTGCACACTACATGAGAACCATTTTGTCAGTCCCCGTAATGCAAGAACACTATTTCATGAAAAATCAACCCCCCCCCAGTAAAAAAGATAAGGAAAGAAAAAAAATGAAAGAAAAGACAAAACCCGTCCGTCTTCTAAGAGTAATATTTAAGCATCTTACTTTTTTTTTGGTTTCTAATCAAACAAGTGACAGCAAGAAGCGAGAAGCAGTAAAGGATATACTTTGTTAAAAAGGATCTACTGTCATCTCATGTATTACAATAAAAGGTAATAACATGTTTTGCACTTTGCCTGTGAGCCACTTTAAAAAAAAATTCCCGCAGACAATAGCTGATCAGAAGATAAAAGAATTTTAAAAAAATCTTTCAGGGGAACAGTAAGCAAAAAGGAAGAACTGCAGTATTAATTTTATGTAACATAATGTCTTAATATGCAGTTTATCTTGACTTTTTCACATGATTTGTCCTGTCATTTGCATAGCGAGCTCTCATTCCTAATTTCACAGTCATTATGCACTGATGTCCCGATTTCTCAGCATCACTAATTTTGATGAACTAAAAATGGTTCCTGAAGGTCAGATTCATGTACAGCGGATGTTCTTCTACTGGATGTTGTGGCATGGGTGTTGATAGGCAAGTTTCTAGTGTTTAGAAAACACTAGGTAGAGCGTTTGAAAAAAATTTCATTAACCCAACTCTGGAAGGTCATCTATGAATCCATTCTACTGCAGTGGCCTTTTAAGTATGGATGCAGAAACACTGTAATTTAAAACAGATGGGCATGTCTGAATATTTTTTATATGCAAAAAGGGACAGATGTATATGAATGGATAAATTATCCTTTTAAAAAGATAATTCACAGCATGAAATATCACCAATGATTGGAACAGTGAACTTGCGTTCAGTCTAGGGCAAACGCCAAGAAGACATTATCAAAACATCTAACCATCTACAAATTAATTCCAATTAGTCGACTTTGTCTTCAGACGGAAGAAACTTTTTGAATTTTTAAATATGTACTGGCTTGTCAATCACTATCTTTTGAGCAGCTGAAGCCAAACCATCACAATAGAAGTTTACTTTTCCTTGAGAGTTGCCACAGCACCATACAGGGAGTTCTGATTAAGCAAACAAAAGAACCATGTTTAAGGTTTCTTCTTTTCCCCCTGCATTTCTTGGATGATGTACAACATAAATATTCACCAGCCAAATTTCTGATGGCGATGAATGGGAAAACACAGGAATAGGGTGGTGTAAACTTGAAACTGAGGATGAACATGTAACTTCACAGAGTGTTCATAGAAATCAGTACAGAAGTGATCCCCTTGCATGCATTGAAAATGACCTAATTTGTAAAAGAGCTATGGAAATCCTACATGAGATAGGGGTACATGCTAACTTTGGGGGCAATGGAAATGCTGGTTATTTTGATAAAGGTGGCTGGCCATACATACATACATATATGCTTAAAAAGATTATTTTACAGTATATAAACTGTCCTTCAACCAAATGGATTTAAAAAGTTACCTATAGTACATGTAAAATTGGTAGATGATAGATTAAGTATATGGATAGCTACATAGAGAGCGTTCTTAAGTCTGGTAAATAGCATGCATCTTCTTAAATGAGAAACACCACTGTCCCTTGCCTAGCAATAAACCGATGGGGCTCAAGGGAAGAGACTGACATACATGGATATTTTTTAACCCCCCACAGATGGATAGGAGTATAACTCCCTCGCCCAGTTACTTGCTCATTGTTCACAGACATGCCGCCCAACAAGAGAATAAACTTGACTCGGGCCTGCTTTTTCCCTTTGGACATTATGATGGAAGGTCTGATGAGTAATAAAATGCTTCCAGCAGCAGGCTCAACCCAGGGAAGGACTGGAACAAGAAGCTTGAGTAATCCTCCAAACCTTCTGATCAGTCTCTGAATAAGCAGAAGTGAGCCATTATATTTCGATGGCCTGAACTTTGCTTTTACTATCTGAAAGCACATTTTCACACCATTTTAGCTCTGAGCCTCCAGTGTGGGCTGGGGCTTAATTTATAAATGCAATAAAGCTGCACATCCCCGCATCTTCCCCCACCCCCAAGTTTCTGCTCCAACATGTCAGGAAGAGAAGTTATGAAAAGCTTTAACAAACATACTCCAATGGACCAGAAACTATGGTAGGGTGGAAAAGAAAAAAGAAAAAAAAATCAGTACAGTTTAAGCCTTTAAATAGTTAAGAATTATAGCCTATCTATGCACTCTCAATTCCCAGCGTCCAACTTTCTCCTATAGCTAGTCACTACTAATACTGAGAATCAAAGGGCATGCAGGACCAGAGAGGGGCTATTACAGCCCACATTTTATTGGCCATTACTACCGAGGTCATTAGCGGCAAGAGTGATTGTAGCAGTCTTAACCTATTGATCACTGTAACTACTATCATTTAATCCTGTGTTGAATGTCTCAAAAGCGGCTAAAGGCTCACAAGAGAGAGCGCTTGAGCATTGAGAAATATGGCCAAAGCTTAGAAATTACACTTTGATTCATAAAATCTAGCCAGTGGTTTAAATCAATAGTATTTAAAACAGTCTTGTGAGTTTTTAACTACAGCGACCTAATATTTATAGGCCCCTCTTTGAGAGTACTTAGTGAAAATGAAACTTTTTTTTCTTTCTTTTCTTCCCCCTCCCAATCCAGGCTTACCCACTTTACCTTCCCTGAGATAAAACAACATTCATTTCTCATGGTTTGTATAACCACAAGGCTCATGCCTTACCTGAGTGTTCTAGCTAATTCTAGATTTCCCTCTCTCACATAAGATAATTTAAATATAAGCCCCCCCTCAATATCCTTGATACTGTAGCTATGTTAACTGTTTGAGTATACAGAAATGAGTAGGTCTTATGAGTTAACAATGAATCATAGAAGGTAATTTATGAAGAACTAGAATGATTCGGTCTAGCTGCCTTCAGGGATCAGAAATTCAAATTAAACTTCTGGCAGACATTTAAAGAATGGTAGCATACAAAACTGAATTTAAACACACTCTCACACACACATACATTTAACACTCCTTAGTGGAGTTTCAAGAGAAAATCATGAATTGAAAAAAAGTGTGTGTGGGGGGGCACGGCCTGATATTCTGTTGACTGATAGAAACTGGGTGTGGTCAATCCCAGGTACACAGAGACCCCTGAGAATGGCAGAAATAGAGCTGTTTTGGGGCCATCCCCAGCTGCTGGTGGCTCAAGCCTGCTGTACCAGTGACTATCTTAGAAGCCCTGACAGTGCTGTGTGAATTCTGCCTGATCCAGTTTGCTTTTTCTCTAAAATGAATCTACATCATCTGAAAGCCTGGAAGACTATTAAAATAATGTCTCTATTATTCCAACCCCTCCCCTGCTTCTTGCCCATGGGGAGGAGGGGAGGTAGGGGATGGGAAGACAGGGGGGAAAAATCTGAAAAGCAAACAAACAAATAAAAAAAAACACATTCCCAGAAACAATACTCCTTCCTAATCCAGGAGACAATTGAAGGAATTGGGTGGGAGGTAAGATGGGCACAATATAAATACTGAAAAACAAAACATGTTATCATTTTTGCTCTCCCTTTAGTGTACATTCAAGTTAACTACAAGTAAATAGTGCCCAGTGTAAACCTGAATAGATTTTGGCACATGACCACTTCCTTGTTAATGGCTAGGTGTGCAAATAATA